GATTGTAGTAAGATTTGTTATATAGTTGTAAACATTTATTATGTAATATTTTTGTGTGATACACGGCCCTTTGAAGATCACTAATTGTGAAAGGCTACCGTGTTTAAATATTCTTAAATAATAATAATAATTTTTGCCCGAAAAATTGTTATCTGTTTGTCTGTTGAGGATAAAGGCCCATACCACAGCCCATACAGACCGAACGCGATCGACAACGCGACGCGAATTTTCAGTTTTTAAAAACAAATAAAACCGTCAACGGATAAAATTTTACTTAAGTGGTTCCGAATATTCGAAAAACATAGAAAAATAGTAAAGTTAAATGACATTGAACTGGTCGCGCAGAGGTGGCGAGATTTTCACGATTTTCAAAAAAATAGTTTTTAAAAAAGTTTTAAAAAAACTGTTTAAAAAGTTAGATTTTCAAAAAAGTTTTAAAAGTTACTGAAAAAGTCCGGGGTTAGTGGTTAGGGTTGGGGTTAGGGTTAGTGTTAGGTGCCGCGAATTTATTATTATGATAAATTCAAAATATGCGCGAATTTATCATAATGATAAATTCGGACGTGTTCAAGAATTTACTCATATAGTAAATTCAAAGGTGGAGCTCATGCTAGTAAATTCGCGTCACGTTGCCAAATCACGTCCAGTCTGTGTGGGCCTTAAAGACTGGAGCGATTCGGCAACGCGACGCGAATTTTCAGTTTTCAAAAACAAATAAAATCGTCAACGGGTAAACATTTTACAAGATATGCAGATCAAATAGCTAAAATTGCTTAATTAAGTGGTCCCGAATATTTGAAACTGAACACTGAAAGATATTAAAGTTAAATGTCTTTGAAAACTGAAAATTCGCGTCGCGTTGCCAAATCGCGTCCAGACTGTATGGGCCTTTACTATCAACTGCATATCCAGAGGTGGCCTATGACGTGGTGGCCCAGAGGTGGCCAAAATGAACGGAGGAAGCCGACGTCAATATTAATACGAACAGTTGACACCATTCCTTGTTTTTACAAACTTACTTTTGAAATGGAAAAACATAATTTTCACCTGTCGTTCAAAGTTTGCCTTAATTTAGCATCATTTCTCGAGTTCTTATAAGTCATAGCAACTTGCATTTGGAAAAATCTCTATCGTACGCGCAGCGGTGAAAAACAATTTTCTAAAGCGCGCAGAATACCCCAAAGGTAGATATTTTGGAGAACGAAGAAACTGCAATATGGTCAGCTTACTAATGGATCTTAGGGCAAGCGCCGGAAAACGCGGATAGAGAACCGTTCGGCCAGGATTTTTTATAAGGCAGTGAACGAATACATCGACATTGATGTCTTAAATTTTGTTCACTTTGTCAATCATGGACGGACACGTAGAGCATTGAGTTCCAATTGTGTAAAATTTGTACGTATGCAGTTCGTCGAATTTTGATCGTGTTGTCAAATTATGAAACAGTGTTTCGGTCTCTCAATTATTCCTTCCAGTTTCCCATCGCCATCGTCTTTCAAAATATACCTCAAGATCAGGTACTGAAACTACTGAAGCATGTTCTGGAAACAGTATACGATCCGGACATGACTTGCACCTGGTCACTTAAACGTGATTATGGTTACAAACAATAAACTAACATAACTAATCAAATTAATGTGCATGCATATAATACTAAATAATATTTAACAAGTAAATATGTTATACAGTATACAGGTGTGACTTTAATTAAAATGTCTATGTTAGGAAGAGGAGGGGCACCATGCATGCAATGGACTTTACGTCCAGTTTGTGTCTTGTCCGCTTGAGTACAGCACTTTTTAGTGCATTTTCAGGTTGGTATTTGTATATATATTTTTAATTAATTTGTACTCAATAAAGTTTTAACAAACAAAACAAATATTTTTACTAAATTTCCAAGTGCATTAATTGACCATTTGCGTAATAGACTAAATTTTGATCTAAACAAATCTAGACAAAAATTTCATCACAGCTTGAAAGAGCATCACAATATTAGTAATACTCCAAAGTTTTGTTGCGAAATGGTGTAAAATGCGGAAAATATAGTCTTGTGAAATTTGCAATTTTCAGTCATTTTAGATTACAAACGGGAAATTGACAGCCTCGCAGGGTTTGGGGCTGTCAATTTCCCGTTATATTTTCCACATTTTACAACATTTCATAACAAAACTTTGGAATATTACTAATTTTGTGATGCTCTTTCAAGCTATGATGAAATTTTAGTTGAGATCAAAATTCAGTCTATTACGCAAATGGTCAATTGTCCAAGAGCGGGCACAAAATTCCCTAACTGAGTGCCAGTTTAATTTACAGTCGTAAAACGTTTATAATTCAGAAATAGACAAATAGACACAGAATGATGCATTAAAATATTATTTCTGGCTACAACTTACAAACCTATATTTGTTTTTTGTCCTTGATTGAGCGAAATAACAATTAGTTGACTCTACTCCTAGTCGTAATAACTCTTCTGACGAAGGACCATCGCAATAATTCTACCCCTCACCCTTCCCTCCCCCCTCCAGTTTATTATTTGATACTTTTTACCGATTTAAAAATTTTTGATGTTTGTGATGTTACTCAGAGTGTGCATCGACACCGGGCAAGCTGAAGAGTTAGCTTGGCCACGGTGGGAATCGAACCCGCGACCTTTGCGATACTAGTCCAATGCTCTACATTGACTAGTATTGCAACTGAGCTACGTGGTCAAGTCGTTCGAGTTGGTAATATTTCGGAGTCTAGTTCCTTCGATATCCGTGTATTCTATGATATGATTATTTTGTGTGTGTTGGTGTTATGTACTCAGGTGAATATGATGTTTGTGATGTTACTCTGAGTGTGGATGTTTGTGATGTTACTCTGAGTGTGGATGTTTGTGATGTTACTCTGAGTGTGGATGTTTGTGATGTTACTCTGAGTGTGGATGTTTGTGATGTTACTCTGAGTGTGGATGTTTGTGATGTTACTCTGAGTGTGGATGTTTGTGATGTTACTCTGAGTGTGGATGTTTGTGATGTTACTCTGAGTGTGGATGTTTGTGATGTTACTCAGTAACATCACAAACATCATATTCTCCTGAGTGCATAACACCAACAACACGAAATTAAACATTTTTGTTGTTCCTGTTTTCCGTATTCCGGGATCATACTGTTCCGGTGTTTCTGGTTTATGTGGTTACAGTTCGTTGTTAACTTCGTGTTCCGGTTATAATTACAACCGGAACTCGAAGTTAATTAGATGCAACTTGCGAAAGTACACTGCTTTCTTTTATAAGTACTAATTACCTCGACAAATACACATCATACACAAAGCTACTGTGAATATGTTGTGGTTTTATTCCTGTAATTATTTTTTAAGAAACTTTTCAATAAATTTAATTAACTGACTTTCAGTCCTTGCGTATTGTGTTGTTTTGATGTCATGGTGAAAGGGTCATCGAAGGTCTACACGTGGGATGTGAAACATGTATATGATGGCGTGAGATCACGGAATCAAAGCGTGTGGAAGTGGTCATCACAGATTTTTCAGGAACAAATTTTTACTTTGTTTCACAGATACTTATAGTGGTGATAGACATTCATCACTTTGTATTTGCAACAACGTTATACTCAAATGAGAATAAAAAAAACAGGGAAGTTTGAAAGGTTGCCAAAATGTCACGTTCGACCTTACAATTACAACGTAACATGTTAAACTGAGGAAATTAACTACTTGCTTAATTAATATAATTCAGCCGTGTTCGAAATTATTTCCGCGAAAGTATAAGATAAAACACAACCCGAAAATTAGCATCTTGAAACTCAAGATACGAGTCAAAACAAGACGAGAATGATATTTCGATTATATTCCAAAAGGGATGACGATAGCTAATATCTTGTATCTTCACATTACTGGGAAATGACGTCATAACTCCAGTGTGACCATTGAAGGCTGCATGAGTTTCGAAAAGTCGAAATAAAGGATTCATTCAATAATTTGATGCCTTGGACTATATAATCGGTTCTTGCTTTCTTAACATTTCCATATGCACAATACATCATTTTTGGAGACAAGAACTTTTAGAGAATGGTTCCCGTTACATTCACTTCGAACCAATCGTATACAAACATTTTAGTTAATTGCCAGTTCCAGGGTTGATTCATGGTTGTTGATTAAGGATTCTTGCACCTACACCAGTCGTTTTTAATAAAATGGTGGTAAGTCCCATAGCAGCGGTCGGGGGAGTTTAGGGGTGTAACATTCCGCAATACCTGTTCAGGGGTAATTTCAGATAAAATTAGAGGTGATTTGATCTGATCGGAACAATGCAGTAGGGGGGGGGGGGGCTATAGTCCCCCAAAAAACGATCACTAGAGTAAGAACTAAGAGGGTAATATGAAAATTCTTGATCACTGCCTGATGGTTAATGCACCTGGAATGTGCGTAACTTCAAACTATAGAAGGTAGCTTCATGAAACTTTGCCGATAAATCGGTATCCGCCGTACAGAAGAATAGAACAAATTACAATTAAACACAACAGACTGCAAATCGAAGCGAAATTGGTGTACTTTTGTATTTAACACATACGAAGGTGCTATTTTAACACCAACAAATTTACATGGTAATTTACATATGTAATCAGTAAGAATTATGCCTTTTTGGGGTTGGTGACGTCATCTTGCCAAGTGGGGAACACAATAAAGCGGCAATACCATAACCCTATAGCAACGGTTTTCAACTTGGGGGACATGTCCCCGAGGGGACATTTGGCAAATTCCTAGGGGACACAAACTGGTCTAGGACTGAGAAAACAATTGTTGAATACAATAGTTGAATACAATAGTTTGTACTATAAACATGTTTGCTTGACTTTCTATCTATTATTTAAAATTTAAATCATTTACTATTTTACTAACTATTTCGAAATTCGTGTTTTTGATAGACTTCAGTGGGCAATTTCTGTTCAGGGGACGTGGTAATTCAATCATGTGAAATCGGGGACACATGAGAAAACCAGTTGAAAACCGTTGCCCTATAGGGACAAGTATTCTCACAACCTCGTTCCCATTTGGACGAGGCAATGGTTTTACTAATGTGTATACCCTCCTTGGCAAGATATTGGCGTCGCGAACCCCAACAAGACGAGTAAGGTACACCTTACACGTCCAACCGACTTGGCTAACCTAGTAGAACTCATTTAGTAAACTCATCTAGTAAACTCATCTAGTAAACTCATTTAGTAAACTCATCTAGTAAACTCATCTAGTAAACTCATCTAGTAAACTCGTCTAGTAAACTCATCTAGTAAACTCATCTAGTAAACTCATCTATTAAACTCATCTAGTAAACTCATCTAGTAAACTCATCTAGTAAACTCATCTAGTAAACTCATCTAGTAAACTCATCTAGTAAACTCATCTAGTAAACTCATCTAGTAAACTCATCTAGTAAACTCATCTAGTAAACTCATCTAGTAAACTCATCTAGTAAACTCATCTAGTAAGCTCATCAAGTAAACTCATCTAGTAAACTCATCTAGTAAACTCATCTAGTAAACTCATCTAGTAAACTCATCTAGTAAGCTCATCAAGTAAACTCATCTAGTAAACTCATCTAGTAAACTCATCTAGTAAACTCATCTAGTAAACTCATCTAGTCATAGATATCTTATATACACTAGATAGCGCATCTCTTGTACTAAAATTGAAGCCAAGAATACTTCAGCGGTTACCCCCATTTGAATAGATGGCGGCCATGTTGGTCGTTCCCACTTGCTAATAAACGCTTAAAAACAACAATAACTTTCATCATTTGAATAGTTTAAAAATGTATTTGGAATAGGGTTAACTTAAAGTTTAAGTTCCCTGTTATAGAAATAGAAAACATACGAATCTTCTCATTTCATGGGAACGACCTGAGACTGCAATCACGGCTTCAATTTTTGAATTGCAGAATAATTAGATGCACTATCTAGTGTATATAAGATATCTATGCATCTAGTAAACTCATCTAGTAAACTCATCTAGTAAACTCATCTAGTAAACTCATCTAGTAAGCTCATCAAGTAAACTCATCTAGTAAACTCATCAAGTAAACTCATCTAGTAAACTCATCTAGTAAACTCATCTAGTAAACTCATCTAGTAAACTCATCTAGTAAACTCATCTAGTAAACTCATCTAGTAAACTCATCTAGTAAACTCATCTACAATCGCGTGCAAAAATAATGAGACTCTTCACATTTTGGGAATCTTTTCCCACGTGCGTGCCCCCCTCCCCCCATTAACAATGTTGAAAACATATTATTTGATAAGCCCTGACCTCAAAATCGTTTTAACAACATTGCACAAGGGGGAGGGGGGGGGGGCAAGAACCATTGTTACAGGAGGGAGAGGGCCAATAAACTGCTTGTCTCAACAATTTTTGCACGCGATCCAATCGCGGAGGGCCTGCCAAATATTAAACAATCTAAAATTTTAAATGCATATTTCATCTTATTGATATGTTGGAATGATTCTAAATTTACTGATTCCTGCTATAATTTCATCTGTTACTTTTGAGTTTTTTTGACTGCCCGAGTATATATTGCCAATTTCAGAATTCTGTTTACGGCTTGACCACTCGAAATAACAAGGCAGGGTCGACTTCTGGTGCATGGCGTGTGAGTGGTTGATTCGGAACTTTCAGTTTCATTTTTCCGGCTCCATCACTGCTCAGGTACATGTCGTCGTTGCCTAGCTTTTTATTTGATCGAAGTACAACAAATGGTTGATTGGGTGAACGTAATGCCATCACTTCAAACGATGTATCGCCGTTGCCTGTTGAAACCAAAATGAAAGAAGATTCCTTTTTAAAAATTATGGTCTATTCTCTACTGCTCTGACCTTCATCATAATATCATATAATTTTAATTCGGATAAGTATATACGTGGATGTTATATAGCTTAAAAACTAGTAAGACTGAGTTAAGCCTTGACGAGCCGCTTAAACAAGTTTTAAACTCTTGCCAACTCCAGAGTGCCAACTCATAACTTAATTACTTGATGGCAAGTAAATGATTGGGCGTTGTTGCACCTCGAGCCGTTTGAGTTAAAATTTTAAAATTACTTTAACTACCGTACCATTTGGTAGCTAAATGGTATTAGTTAACTCTAAAAACCGCGATTGTGATCGAATATTAACTTTCGCACTAACTGCATGCGTTAACTAGAACTAACAAGACGCCTGCTCAGGCGTTCACACTGGCCTTAGCGGTTGGTAAAACAGTAAAATACCATCGCAATATTCTAAAAAATAGGTACGTAGTGCTTACATGTTGCATGCCATCAAAACCATGAAACCTCACGACTCAGAATACTATACAGAAATCATGGCCATCTCCATTGTTTTCTGTGTACGTGCTATTTGTCATTTGTCAGTCGGCAAGTACAGTAAACAGAAGCAGTTACCCCCTGACACTGAACAAAGATACACAGAAGGTCGATTAGAGCATAGTCCAAAACATGGTCTGGAAACTCAGTAAACTTCAAAGCGGTTATAATGAGCTGGGATTTTACGTTGAGCCTTACCTTAAACCATGTACATCCTTTGTTTTAGGTTTATTAATATTTAACTAACATGGTTGAATGACTGAATTGAAACGTCGTTGTTGGATGATTCGTTCATTATACTGAAATACAATGTGTTCATAATTGACTGTGCACCGTGCACAAAACTGCATAAACGCAAAACAAAAAGATAGAACAAAGACTTTAGCGGTGTTTCCAAACCATGTTTTGAAAGACTGTAATTAGAGTAAACGCTGCTATGTCCCAACCAGTGCGCACCAAAGAGGCACGCCCCCCCCCCCCTCCCGCTGGACGTCTATCATTTTGAATATTATAAGGGGGTAAATGCCTCCCAAAAGCGCACCAGCCAGGACCATGACGTCAGCATTTTGATGATGAATTACGGTCACGCCAAAATCATTGGAAAACCATAAGAAAAACCAATAAATTGGGCTTCTGTATGACCGACCCTGTGCCCTGGTAATGATGCGCGACCGCTTATAACTTTTGGTACAACTGATCTGAAACTTAAAATATTGATTCAATAAGTTTAAGATCAATATATTGTTTGAAAAATAGCTATTATGTCAAAATTAGAAAACTTAAGATTCTCACGCGAATAAGCAATGTTTTTATGAGCGTCTGTTCATCGTTAGTTGCCAACGACGGTAATATAAACAAGGTCAAGGCAGGTCAAGTTTGTATCGAAAGCGATTGACTGTTAGATTTTCTTTTATACTATTTTATAACTAAACGGTGAATTACTATAGATCGAAAATAATTATTAAACTATGATTGAAATTATCGACGTAGAATGCTATATTTCGTTGTATTAAATTTCAATAGTGTATATTAAAATACATTAAATAGTAATACATTTGACATCCGTAAGTACAATTTCTTATGCTGAATCGAACGGTGGTATTTTTATCCTTATTGCGCCATTTATAGACATTACAAATACAAAGACAAACGTAGTGCGAGTGATTTGTTATAAATAATACATACTGCGAGCGATTTGTCAATACAATTTCGCTTGATTTTCAAAGGCCATAAATCGCTAGAATACTGGTGTTCAGTAATACACTTGACATCCGTAAGTACAATTTCTTTATACGCTGAATCGTACGGTGTCGCTTTCTTCTCAAAATATAGGAATTGGTTTATAAATCATAGTGAGCATGTGTAATGTGATAGCTAAATTCACTGAGCTATAATATTACAGTAATATTATTATAGCTCAGGGGCTAAATTGCGCAATCCTGAGCCCACGATGCCGCAATGGAAAGTCACACTTGCGACAACAAAAAAAAAAACCCGAAAAAATTCCTCGCATTCCAGCGAGGGCAAATTATAACACTGGCTCCGGCCAGTGTAATAATCAATATCTATAGTAATCTTCTAGATCAAGTCTTTTTTCCAGTTTAAATTCATTTCCAATCGTGCAGAATAGACATACAGAGTTTAGGTTAATATATATTAGCATTGATATTAATTTCCGGGTTTTCCCCGAGTAGCTAATTTTAATACGAAAGCGTAGTACGTTTACCTCGCTGCATCGATCGAAATCTTTTCGAATTAATCCACTTGTGATGTTCATGAACACAGAAAAATCGCTTAACTACGATGATATTTAACAGCTTGTGTAAAAAGCGGAACAACAGCGCATTTTACAAGTGACTGGAAGCTCTGACGTCTCAACTCCGCTATAATTGAAGCTAAACAAAATAGCCAAATTGTATCAAATTTCAGAGGCTGTCGAGTCTTCAAATCGCGGTTGGTAACAAGTTTTATTATGGATATGGGTACTTCAAACTCCCCTTTTTAAAACCATATTAGTCCCAGAATCCAGTTAAGTGCCACTTTTGAGCAATTTAATGTCGAATTTGATGTGTGTATAAAGCCGTATTTAGACCCGGTGCTTGTTATCGCTTAAGTTTGCCATAATCGTTCTGTAAAAGCATCATAAAACAAGGCAAGTTTCAAAGTAGAATTAATTTTCACGTTGGTGGGTGAAAAATCATAAAATTTGGTTGAATACTTTTAAAATTATATGTATTTGAATTCGGCTAATATTTATGCCTGATATAGGCAGAGGATTTTCTGCCCGACGGCGCGGTGCCGAAAAATGGCTGAAATTTTAAAAATTAATAAAATTTCAAAATTCCAAATAGTGTTTGTTTGTTCTTGGGGTAAATACATTTCATTGTGAAAGTAATGAGGAATTTCATTTTTTGAGCCGAGAGTCATTGTTCCAGACCTCTCAACTTTGCAGAGAAGTTAAGAGTGAGATTGGGGATGTGGATGACACCTTTGTAAAAGTCCGGGGGTCTGAAGGGGGGTCCCAATCCCATTTCCCACCTGAAATTTTGGCAAAATCCCAGTCCCAGTTGGATTTTTATTAGAAATCCCAGTCCGAGCTATTGAAATCCCAGTCAATAAAAAACCCTTTATTTATCGCTAGAATAAACAGTTTTAAGACCTTTTACGCCACCGTGTGTGCAAGTGGTGGACCAGTTTGAATCCTGGAAATGGCATTTGCAGCATTCTGAGACACGCATAGTCAGAAAACCCAGAATTCCGGGTGCCAGAGTATGCCTGTCCGCAGGTAGTGCTGTGAATAATATAGTTAACAACAAAAATCATGACCAAAGAGTCAAAGTACTTAAAATACACCATTTTAAAATACTTAAAACGTAGAAAAATTGGAAATCGACTCGCATTACCTCAATCCCATTCCCATTTTTGAGGACTTAATTTCCCATTCCCAGTGGCCCAGTCCCAGCAACCCAAATCGCATTTTCCCAGTCTAAAAATAGATCAATCCCAGTTCCCATTTTACCCCTTCAGGGCCCTCTCTGAAATGGCATTTCGTACATTCTGAGAGTTGGTGGTTTTAATGAAATACGTCATTGCTTCATAACGTCCTTTAAGACAATTAAGGCACTTTAGTTACAATAACTGTATTTCTTTGACATGCAGCAATGAGCTTTAATTTGCCTTTGATAATTTACAAATAGAATTCTGCTCCGACTGATTCTGCCTTTTGTGCGCCGTATTTTGACATATGCGTACTATTTTGTATCAAAATTGCGGGCAAAAGCCAAAATGTCGGGCCGTATATGCAGGAACAATAACACGCGATAATGATTATTAGTATAATTACATAGGTGATTATTGAAAATTCTCCACGCTGATTGGTTACCGTTGAGGTGATTATTACGCGATAATCACCTAAGCGATTTTCAAAATGGCGGCCGAAGCCTTTTTGTCAATTAAATGACGAAGAAATGTGTATTTTCTTATTTTTTTCTCCAAATAATCACCTATGAAATTATACTAAAACAATTATTCACCTCAGGCTCGGTGATTATCGTGAATAAAAACCTCGACTTCGTCTCGGTTTTTATTCACCGATAATCACCTCGCCTTCGGCGAATAATTGTTAAATAATGTGCATTTAAGAATACAATATTATATTTTTTTATTGAAAAAATACTATGAAACTGCTATATGCGTGAGATTTACTAAACGTGGCGTGAGAGCGTGAGAGTGAAGTGAATTGCGTGAGACTCACGCCGAATGCGTGAGAGTTGAGAGGTCTGTTGGTCGGTTCTTAGAGAGACAGCCTCTCTAATAACGCTACAGACACGTTGTGGCTGTATTTCGCGTGTAATCATTGATAAAGAACCCTTCCACAACTCGCTAAATGATATTATAGACTCTTCACCGCATACTTCATCGAAAAGATATTTTTTCAAACTTTCCTTAGTTCGAGTATTCCCTGTGGGAAATAATCATTACGCAGCGAAACCCAAGAAGGGACAGGCACGGGACTTAATATTTTATTTTACTGGAACTACGAAAACGGTTGAAGCCATAATAATTCCAAATAATATTACTATACACAAATTAAATTTTCGATAGAAATAGGACACATTTATTGATTAAAATAAGAATCACTGTTGAACTCATATAGAATAAAATATATTTTACATCCTAAATTAGCAGGTTGTTAATTTCAGGTTATTATTTAAGATGCGTCGAATGGCTGCACATACTGCGGAAAGAAGCAGGGGCTCAAACCTGAAAAAATGAAATAAAGTTTTAGTTAAAGTGCAAGGCACAGAATAAAGATCAGTAACAGAAGGGCCACTCAGCGGTGCAACGTGTCCTCGTTTTTTCATGCAAAAATATGCAGTTTACTGGCCAGAAGGCGGAGCAGCCAGCCAGTACAGCGTGTTTATTGGCCAGAAAATGTCATTGACTGGCTAGGAAAATGGCGGCCAACATGCGTAATGCGACATGCGCGAGGACAGAAACTTCAAAGCTTCCGACGTAAGTGGCCCCTCTATATGGATCTTTATTCTATGGTGCAAGGGATGCGAAATTTTCTCCCCAGTTTTTAGGTATCACTTGAAATTGACATGAAAATTATCAAGAATGCCTTAACAATTTATTCCCATGCAGTTTATCTCGTTCCCAAGTTATCGGGCATCTTATATTTTGTGTGTTATGTCGTCATTGGTTACAGCTAGTGCTTAAAGATGGCAGCAAAAAGGTCAAATATATCCCTAATGACTTTCACAGAAAAAAAAATATGCTACGATAATTTACGATACGGTTGAAGTAGAAAAGGTCCTTCCAGCCTGATTTACACTACCAAAGTGTCTGTGATCACAGTAGAAATTTTTCGTGGGAAAAGGATTTGTAAGAAATATTTGAGCAAACTGACTTAAGGCTGCATTCCAGTTACGCGTTTTTCATACGTGCGTACACGCACGTAAAAGTTGAATTCGCTTAAAATTTCATATAAGTGCAAATAACCTTAACAAATACACATTAAGGCTATGTTTACATTGTATCGGATCGGTTTTTGCTTCGTTCACGAAACGTTACGGCCCAAGTGTAAACAGCTTCCGCCCTCGCCCATCTAATATAAGTGAGCAAGCTATACCCGCAAATAAGATTAGAATAGCAAGTCTTTGTTTCCCAGATGCCATCTTGAGTCACGTATTGAACCGAAAATTGCTCCGATTTGTGTTTACATTACAATGAGAGCGTTGCAAAAAGCGATCCGATACATCGCGCACCACTTCGAAGAGCGAACCGCCTCACCACCGGTCCGTTGCAGAAATTGAGACGATAACAACATTTCACATGTAAACAGAAGCCCTATCCGGTATGGTTTTTGCGTCGGACGCAAAGTGATCCGATACAATGTAAACATAGCTTTATAAATTTAGTTATTTCATAAGTAGGATGTAAAGCGAATTCAACTTTTACGTGCGTGTACGCACGTATGAAAAACGCGTAACTGGAATGCAGCCTTTAATGGTAAACACTGGGTTAGATCTATCTAACATTACTTACAAATCCTTCAAGACTTGGAATTTACCCATGCAAACTTCCCATTGTTATCACAGAAACTTGAATGGTGTAAACCAGGCTTTACATTTAAACCGTACCGTCACGAAACGTATCCCTTTGTTGCATGCTAAGCACTACAGCAAAATTAATGACATCAACACCAGGAGCGGATCTAGCCTGATTTGGTAGAGGTTTTCCAGATGGGGTGCATTACAACAGGGGTAGCGGGGCATTGTCTCCAGAATATTTTTGAAATTTGAAGCCCTGAAATGCCATTGCCTGCATTCTGAGCACTACATTTATTCCTAAAATTTGTCTTCAGAGTACTTGTATTTTGGGCAAAAAGCCGGTAAGAAAAGCGCTACTGCAGTTATAACAGGGTGTTAGCCAGGCGGCCGTCCGACCGTCCTACGGACGGCCACTAATTCTGAATTCGGACGGCTAAATTTTAATGGACGGCCATGGACGGCCTAAGGGAATATTTTCTTTAAATAGCAATTTACAAGCTTTGTAATATTTCTTGAATACTTCGAATTGTTGTCATCTGCTGTTTACTTTACTTATGGCTGAATTGAAGTATCGACAAACGCGCCTTGTTTTTGTAATTAACCATGTTGATGATTCTCGCATAAAGTATCAAGGAGAATAATTTGAAAGCGCTGTTTTAAAAAAACAGCAATCGCTCGAGCGTCACATGCTTTAGCGTTACAGTTACGGTAAAGATGGCTATAAAATGAGCCAAACGCATAAAAAAAGGGAAACATATCGGCGATTGATAAAAAAATTAAACACTACACTGCTGTATTGTGTTCTTCATTATATATACTGTACATCGTAGTGATCATACGGTTCATACCATACGTGTGCTTTTACTAATTTAATAACGGAAACGTGCATCTAAAAGTAAAAAGGTTTAACGAATAGAACACCACAATTCCACTACAACAAAAAATTGCGGCCACGCCCAAAAACATGTGACCACGACCACGAAAATTTGTGGCCACGCCCACAAAATTATTTTGGACGGCCACTTTTGAAATCCTGGCTAACACCCTGCGTTATAATGGTGACCCGTAGTATTGATGCATGAATACTTTCTCGCGTATTTGTTGCCCCCCCCCCCCACCTGTGGATCCGCACCTGTTCAACACAAAAGAAAACACTGCGATACCTTACGATACGATTGATGGGGAAAACAGGCTTTATAACAGTACCTACCGTACGCTTTCCAGTAAACGAAACAACGCAGTTTTAATGTCAGGAAATCTTTTCGAAATTACTGCCGCATGTGAACCATCCAGTGAGACGCGCACTTTTTCTCTTTTTGACATGACCGGACGTAGATGTCTACATAGAAAAAATACCAACATTAGGTTATTTCTGAGCAGTACTGTATGCATATCAAATTATTGAACTTGTTTAATTGTAATATATCAAAAATTGTAAATATCAAATTAAATCATTTTTACACTAGCATATTTTGCTGCCTGTGTAAAACAAAATAAAGAAAGGTACGCCAAAGGTAATATATTTTCTAATTTAATCAACCGTGCCGAAACTAATTGGTCGTTGAGCAACATTTTGCATATTCAAATCATGACTGAACATTCCAATACTTTGATATGCATATTCTAATTCTTCCTGTCCCAGCTACATGTTATAGTTCAACTGCAATTTGTTTCCGGCCCAGAATGCGCAGTCGAAACTGCGATTTCGTCTGTCACATTGAAAATTACGTAATTAATAGAGGATGGGAGCTCAGACCTAAACAGTGGGCCAATTAGAATGGGTGGGGGCTAAAAGGCTGGGGACTAAATAGAGCAAATACAGTACTAAATAGCATACCGCATCTGACATATCACTTTCGCTGAGCTTTCGTTTGACTCCTGAAACATCCTTCACCTCGATCAGGTTTTCACTTTTAACAGATAGCTCGTGGCTGCTTGCAACCTCAGACATCTGATCCCGGGTATTGTTCTCCTTATGATGTTCGTCAAGAGAACTATGTAAAGATGTCAGAGAGGATGTTTCGGACGATGTTTGAGTTGTCAACCTTGAATATTCCCCTTGCTCGCTGTCATTATCATGGAGCTTATCACCATGGCCTTGCAAGTATTGTTGGCTAGGTTCACCAGCATCTGTCGAGAATTCTTTGTTGGGACTGAGGCATCCTAATGGATGTGGTGCCTGGGATATAAATACGCACATTAATACTAACATAGGAAATAGTATTCTAGGTTACAGAAATGTTCAGGTCTTTTGAGGTTTTGCAGAAGAAAGGGAAAGACGAGATGAGGAAAACCTTAGCATCCATCTTAACCCCCAGAATTAGTGTAGCCCAGCAACCAACCAAAGCAATACGCCACCTCGGTTTCTCAACATTTCGAGAAATTCGCTAATTTAATAAAAATCTGGAAGGAAATTTTTGTGAAACTGAAAAAAATGATGAAAATTCTATGGAAATTTCAGTATCCAGAAAATGTTGTTAATTGTGCTAAAATATGCGTTAAAAGTCCAATTAATCCGTTTTCAATGAATATTACACATAGTATGGACCTAGCTAGTGCCCTGCTGATCTGTGTACACCTGTGCTCTACATGTTTTTATCATGTTTTATCAAACCCATCCCTAATGGCTTTGGGTACGAGATTGTCGGTATCCCAAATTTAAAACTCGTCCCAGGCCTCAAATTGAAATATGTTGGATAACGTACGATGTTTAGAGATAGCATAGGTAATTTACGGAATTTTATTTTGCTGCCATATATGGAAATTGAACATTTAAATGTGGAAGCACTGATTTCAATGTCAGAAATGAAAACAGATTGACGTTGCGGCTATTTATAGCTGAGAGTAATAAATCTTTAGTGCATTCTGGGATCGTTTGGAGGGACAAAATATATGGTGACAGGCGTCAAATATGTGAAAGGGTAAAAGTATCTGCTATAAAATATCAACTTTTTAGACGACCAAAAATGAAATATCTCCTTTTTACATCAAACATTTCATTTAAATGTGTGCTGCCAAGACTTTGGGAAATGGCTGATAGGGAACAATGATTTTAAAAGTTTCGTTTCTTAATGAGGCTGTTTGTTCTTGTACGTCCTTCGGTGCATGTTAACTATTAAGGCAATATTCTAGTATTCAATTGACGAATGGAATAAATATATATTTTAATGACTTATTAATTGTAAAAATAGCCGGGCTTGGTTCAGTTATTGAAGTTTGTGATATTGAATTAATGACCGCGCCTAAATGTCAAAAACAACAATAATACTCACAACATTTTTGTATAACGTGGACGCGTATAACGTGAAACTGCAGTAAGGCAACCGTTTCATGACTGGATCATAAAAGGAAGACGATTCAGAGCTTAAAACTAATTTTGCTTTGATGGTACAGTGGCTTGCTTACTACAGTTTTTGCGTGTGATTGGACATTCGGAAGGATAGTTAAAGTAAACTCTCACTTTTTTCAAGGGACTTTTAATGTTGTGACCGCTGTCATGTCTTCTTTCGTTCGTCTTCCTCGCAGGCGCCCTTCTGATCCCCCTTCGTGAATTATTACAAGCAGCTCGTCTTGGTTCTTGCTCCGATGGATCTGAATCTCGAGTAGACCTAGCGAAATAAACATGTATCAGACATGGGCAGTGGCGAGCTAGCCATAGGCATAGAAATTTACATTATTCAAACCTTTAGAAATGTATTGTTTTTAACCTATTTAGATGCACGTTTATTAGCATAGCATGACCAGTTTCCATGGCCAGCTTCGAAGGCACTGAACAGGGGGCCAACAATACCACCGGTACTTAGGAACTATATTCATCATCTATACCCTAGGGTGGGAGAATCTTACATCATATACAACTAGGGATCCAAGGATAGTGTGAAGTTTCAAATTGAAAAAGACACTGCAAGAACTATATAGGTTCGCCGACACTTACACTACGAAATAAACAGTTACCAAAGGCATTTCATCTCATTTTCTATTGTTTTTAATGCGTTCGGAACATGAGTAGCGCGACGTTTGAAACAAGCTTAACACATCAGAAACCTAATGTGCCTCGTGGAACTGATACAATTTATTTATTTATTGTGATGCTACACGCGACAACTCGAAATTTAAATTGTTTAAGCAACAACCAAATTTTGCATATTCTAAAACTTCATTTGCATTTGCAAAAGCATCCCCACGAAGCTACTGATATGCTAAACTTTTTTAAAACTATGATTATTCCCATCATCCTTTTAGCGCCCATATTGCACATTTGACTATTGAGTATTGTCTCGGTGACAACTTTAATTGAAATAGCTGTCTAAGATATTACCGAAATCAGTAGAGTGTCTCTTCCGGAAGTTGAAAAGACAGTCAAAAGCCAGTAGAAACTTTCATGTTTTATGACGTCACTATGAAAGAATGTAGCGTGGAACTTGTAAGTTATTTTACTTATTAGTAACTCCCTGTAGTAACTTTGCATTTCTTCTCCCAGTGCCTTCCCACGAATAAAAGTTCTCCCTAGTGTGAGGCTGTTTCTACAAAAAACCGAAAACCGACCAAAAAACCCGAAAAAACCGAGTGAACAGGTTTTTTTAAAAAATGTGTTCGAAAATCGGTTTAAAAAGACAACAACACACGCTATTGAATATTTTAGACCTGTCTTCGCAGACGTCCGCCTTTATTACTAGCGAATCAAAATTCACCATCGCTTGATCCGCTTATCCGTTCAAGACTTCAAGCTCGCGCGAAATTGTAGAATGATATTTATAACGTAAGGTATTTTGAAGATGTCATCAAATTTCAAACAAAATCTCTTTAGTTTTCGTGTGTAAATGCCAAAACTTGATTCATTTGCAAGAAACTCGTATAAGTATGTTTCAATTTCGGTTCCCCCCCGGTTTTTTCGGTTTTTGTCCAAAAGTATAAACATCGTCATCGAGTAATTCGGTTTTAAAAAAACATCGGTTTTTTTCGGTTTACCGAAAAACCGCCTCGCCCTAGTTCTCCCTTTGTTCAAAAGCTTGTTTTGTGTTTGGCGAGCCATTGTCACTTTGTCAAACCAAATAAAGTTACTAAGTAAGTAAAATAACATACAAGTTCTACGCTGCATTCCTTCACCGTGACGTCATAAAACATGAACGTTTCTACTGGCTTCTGACTGTCTTTTCAACTTCCGGAAAAGACACTCTACTGATTTCGGTAATATGTTATGAATAATAAGCACTATGACGTTGCATCATTAAACGGACGCATTTTATTCCCATCCGTTCCGTATTTTATCCCCATATCCGTTCCGTTGATCCGCTCCATCCGCTTTCGCATTTTAACCTAAATCTGACATGTTTCACAACAACAAGTCTCATTGACCTTTGCGTTGTGTCATTTTCAGCTTTTCGCATATATTCAATGTCACTTGATTTCAATAGTTTCACACTGTTTCACATTTATAGCAGTGTTTAAAGCAGTTTTGACATGCTTTGATGCAGCTCTGGATCCTCGTACCCACATCTCTGTGTACAGATTGATTCTTGTAAGATCTGGTAGAGTTATCGTTGCACTGAACAAGAGTTTGCACCGTTGTGCTAGACAGTAAACAAGGTCCATACGGTACGCGTTGGCAACCTCCTTGCTTTTTTCTTCTATTGCATAAAGCTTGTTGGCGAGCCACGCAATTGGCGATAACACGTTGGCCATCTCCTCGTCTTTCTTGTTTAAATAAAGAGCTCTGACTCAACTGATTTCTTTAGTCTCGCAAGTTATTTTAATCGCCATACAATCGTCTTAAAACGCCATACAAACACCCGCTTCTGTTTAACAGTTGTTTACGCTTTATTGATCTGATGCAATTTTTCGCTCTTTGCATTGAGTGTAGTCATCTGTTTCTTTAATCTGTGGTGTAGCATCTTATACAGTCAATGTATAATGAATACACACAGTCTAAATAATATCGATAGGCACTTAATGCCGGTAATGCATAAGCCATAACATCAATTATATTGTGTAGAATCGGCAAAGATTTTCTCAATATTCATGTCTGAAATGTTTATATATTTGAAAACAACACTGTCTCGCTCCTTCCTACGTGCTACCTCTGTATAATGAGTATACCGTGAAAATAATATCGGCACTCAATTGAATGCCTAGAATCTCAAAGATTTTCGACTCACTATTTACGTCTGAAGTGTTTTAATAAAATACACTTGAAAAAAAGCACTGTTCCTAGCTCCTTCCTAGCTCTGTATAATGAAAATAACGTCTAAATAATATCGGCACTTAATTGAATGTCCGTAATGCATAACATCAATTTATATATTGCGTAGATTCTCAAAGATTCACGTCTGAAATGTTTATACATTTGAAAACAACACTGTCGCTCCTTCCTGCATATCGTCACGCCATCGTGGCCTACTGCTTGATAGCGCATGCGCATTTGCGCTGCTAAAGAAAAAAATCGGGTGTTCCGGGGGTAAATATCCTTTACACAACATGAGAAGCGAATGTTATAAAATTTACAAAAAATTACCATAACGAAAACGATTCCTCGAAATTTTTGTGAACCTGGCAAAAGGCCTAAAGAATATTTAAAGAAGACAACTGAAATTACCTAAAAAACTTTCAAAGTACTGACTAAGTACAACAAATCACTGAGAACATAAATCGTATACACCCCCCGGAAAGTTTACTCTATGACTGAATGACTGACTGAATGACTGACTGAATGACTGACTGAATGACTGACTGAATGAATGACTGATAGTGTGATGAATTTTCGCCACCATCACAATATTGTGAAGAAACTTCGAAGAAACTTCACACTAAAAACTGCTCTTAATAATGAAGACTCCCCCCACCTAATATTAAAAGTATACAGTCCCCAACCAAAAAAATAAGGAAAATGCTATTCTGCTATTTCATTATTCCCAGACAGCGCGCAAGCAGAAAACTTATGATATATCTCATATGATATTTCTCCTTATCATACTATCGAGTGAACAATAACACAATAATGGGAATAATGAAATAGCAGAATAGCATCTTTCCTTATTTTTTTGGTGGGGGGGGGAGGGGGGGGGGGCTGTATACTTTTAATATTTAGGTGGGAGTCTTCATTATTAATAATATATAATAATAGTCTTCATATATGTTGTGGTATTGTTAGGGGCGTAGGTGCCCTTTGTTATGATGAAAAGTGCCCTTTTTGTACAAGCTAATGTCGCTGTAAATACTAAATTAACATCAAAGATGCCCTTTTTGTTTGGAAATTTCCAAGTTTTTAAAAAAAATTAAGTTTTTTATATGTGATAAAAAATCATGTTAATTTACATAAACTTTAGCTTTGATTTTCTCGGTTCAGACAAAGTTTATTTTAAATGAACTCGTATAAGATGAGTCGTTTTTGAAGCCATTTAAAGCCATTTTCACTTGTAGTCGTGTTTTATCACATATAAAACACTCCTATATATATATATATATATATATATATATATATATATATATATATATATATATATATATATATATATATATATATATATATATATATATATATATATATATATATATATATATATATATATATATATATATATATCTATATATATATATATCTATATATCTATATATCTATATATCTATATCTCTATATCTCTATATCTCTATATCTCTATATATCTATATCTCTATATATCTATATATATATATATATATATATATATATATATATATATATATATATATATATATATATATATATATATATATATATATATGTTAGTTGTGTAATTGTACACTCTGTAATATGTTAAGATGAAAATGTTCTAGAATGTGTATTATATAATTTCCATACCCAGCGCAAGCAGAAAGATGTTGTCTGCCGCGGCTGGGTGTCGAACCCGCGACCTTCGAATTAGTAGATCGACACTCTACCTACTGAGCTACACTGTCAGACGGATTTAAGGATGGAAATTATGAAATATATACTGAGAATGTCATAAAGATACTCGTTTATATTAATTCAGCATCGAACAATACTAGCTCTGCAAGTGTTATGTTAGTTGTGTAATTGTACACTCTGTAATATGTTAAGATGAAAATGTTCTAGAGTGTGTATTAGTTCCATCTGACCATGTAGCATTTTATTTTGTTCCGTCTGACCGTGTAGCTCAGTAGGTAGAGCGTCGATCTAGTAATTCGAAGGTCGCGGGTTCGAGACCCAGCCGCGGCAGACAACATCTTTCTGCTTGCGCTGGGTATGGAAATTATATAATACACACTCTACAACATTTTCATCTTAACATATTACAGAGTGTACAATTACACAACTAACATAACACTTGCAGAACTAGTATTGTTCGATGCTGAATTAATATAAACGAGTATGTTTATGACATTCAGTATATATTTCATAATTTCCAGTCTTAAATCCGTCTGACCGTGTAGCTCAGGAGGTAGAGCGTCGATCTAGTAATTCGAAGGTCGCGGGTTCGAGACCCAGCCGCGGCAGACAACATCTTTCTGCTTGCGCTGGGTATGGAAATTATATAATACACACTCTAGAACATTTTCGTCTTAATATATATATCTATATATATATATATATATATATATATATATATATATATATATATATATATATATATATATATATAAATATATATATATATATATATATATATATATGTGTGTGTGTGTGTGTGTGTGTGTGTGTTAGGTATGTTATTATACGTACGTAATATAAGCTTCAATTTAAGGTAAAATGCAACCACAAACGCTTCTTAAAACGTTTTAACTCTTTCCCGACAGGTCCCAATTAAATAAATCACTCATGATTTATGACTTTGCAGGGTCATATCGTCAGTTGGGTGCATGCTATGTAGTTGAAAATACCACTGCTAGATCCGCTGTTTCAAAATCTCCTATCAGACGTAATTTTATTTGCTTAGGATGCAACTGAAGCGATTTATAGTCTTTTAAATGATTAAGATATGTATTTTTTAAAAAACGTACCGGATGTTGATCACAACAAACATGTCTTGAACTTTGTTGGGCTATATTTTCGCTCGATTGAAAGCTATCGAAACAGCAATACCACCATTAGAATCCTCGTATCGAAAACTTGTTATATCCTAAATTTCGTAAGATTACGAAACAAACAACGACTTTTATGGGCATTTTCGGAATTGCACGTGCGTCGTGAAACGATCGTAATTCCGCCGGCAATCTTCGGGCTTACAAATCGCCGGTATCCTTTCTCCTTAGGGACCTAAAACCCTCGGCAATCGATTCAGCATGATGTAATCGTCTAGTATCTGGAATTTCATTGGTTTACGGCAAGATCCGGGCCTTTTATGGCATTTTTTGTATTATAAGTGACGTGCGCTGCAACGACCGCGTTGCCATTTTTCCTGATCTAATATCTCGAATAATGGCTTCGAATTCACTCAATCTGAGTTCAGTAATACAACAACTAGAAGACGAATATAATGACTCTGATGATGGTGGCATATCGTCGGGCGAAGAAGAAGAATTGGACAGACGTTTGGTAGCATCTGATAGCGATTTCAGGCAAGTATTTATATGTTTTTAGCGAACAGATGTTGTCATGTCATTGTCGATCGACTCAAATTTGCATTCGACGCAAATGTGAAGTTTGGCCGGTACTGGCGGTGAAAATTTGGTCTATAATCTATAATTTGGTTTGAAATATAACAAATATACACATAACTTATGTATTATGGCATTTATTTGAGAGTTCTGTCATATATTGGCACAAAAATCAAGGGTTTGAGAATTGATCTCAAAATGTGTGACCATGACGCTGCGCACGTGTCATACGTGGCATTTAAAAATTAATTCATGCATTTTTGTTTTGTATGAAGCAAGATAGCACTATGTATCAGTATGCTTACACTGTTTATATGCTTCTGGGGGAATTTTAAAATTAATTCATGCATTTTTGTTTTGTATGAAGCAAGATAGCACTATGTATCAGTATGCTTACTATGCTTCTGGGGGAATTTTAAAATTAATTCATGCATTTTTGTTTTGTATGAAGCAAGATAGCACTATGTATCAGTATGCTTACACTGTTTATATGCTTCTGGGGGAATTTTAAAATTAATTCATGCATTTTTGTTTTGTATGAAGCAAGATAGCACTATGTATCAGTATGCTTACACTGTTTATATGCTTCTGGGGGAATTTTAAAATTAATTCATGCATTTTTGTTTTGTATGAAGCAAGATAGCACTATGTATCAGTATGCTTACACTGTTTATATGCTTCTGGGGGAATTTTAAAATTAATTCATGCATTTTTGTTTTCTATGAAGCAAGATAGCACTATGTATCAGTATGCTTACACTGTTTATATGCTTCTGGGGGAATTTTAAATTTAATTCATGCATTTTTGTTTTGTATGAAGCAAGATAACACTATGTATCAGTATGCTTACACTGTTTATATGCTTCTGGGGGAATTTTAAAATTAATTCATGCATTTTTGTTTTATATGAAGTAAGATAATACAATGTATCCAGTATGCTTATACTATTTACTTTTTTATAGTGATGAAGAACCTGCTGATGAAGAAGATGATGACCTTGAAGAAGATGATGACCTTGAAGAAGAAGATGACCTTGAAGGAGATGACGAGGATCAGGATTGGGAGGGTAGTGGTGAAGCGGGCCGACCCCCAACTAAGAGACGGGCTGATTCCCTTAGCAGTACTTCTGGCAATAGGGGTAGGGGGGGTAGGGCTGGTAGGGGCAGGGCTGGCAGGGGTAGGGCTGGCAGGGGTAGGGCTGGCAGGGCCAGGGGTGGCAGGGCCAGGGGTGGTGGGACTGCCAATACTAGCAGTAAGTCTTACAATGACGCGGACACCATGCATGACCTCCCTCCCTTTCAACCAAACCGTCCGCCTGGAATTCATTTTGATAGGCAAGTCTTGCGGGGAGCTATGACAACTGAACTAGAGTTTTTTCGTCTCTTCTTCACCACCGAGATGATAACATCAGTTGTTGCCCACACCAACAGCTATGCATACATGAGACTTATAGCTGGGGGGTTTACTACTTACACCACTGGTGAGGGGGCTTGGCAAGAAACGACTGATAATGAAATAAATCATTTGATTGCTCTTTTGATTTATTTTGGTCTGGTACGTGTGGACTCAGTCGTAGAAAAGTATTGGAGCACAAAGACCCTTTACCACGGTCTGTGGGCAAGGAAGATACTTTCCCGTACCCGTTATAAAGCCCTTATGGCATTCTTACATGTGGTAGATCCCGCCGACGAGCAGCCTGGCGATAAACTGCGCAAGGTTGAGGAATTTCTTGCGGCATTCAAAGAGAGATGCCATGCGTCATATCAACCGAGCCAGAATATTGCTGTGGATGAGCGTATGGTCAAGTCTAAACATAGGTCGGGCATTAGGCAATACATGAAGAACAAGCCTACAAAGTGGGGGATAAAGCTCTGGGTATTGGCAGACAGTTCTAATGGGTATACTATTGATTTCAACGTTTATATAGGTAAGTCGGAGCATGAAGTGCCGTCGGGTAATGGTCTGGGTTATGATGTGGTGATGAAGTTGGTGGATCCATATTTGGGGCAGGGGTATCATGTATTTTTTGATAATTTTTTTACATCCCCTCAGTTAGTCCAAGATCTGTTTTTGCATGCAACCCCATCATCAGGTACATGTAGAACTAACAGGGCGGGTTTCCCCAAGTCCTTGAGGAATGTGAAGGTGTGGGCAAAGAAGTTGGAGCGAGGAAGCATGCGATGGGAGCGGGAATCAAATGTGTTAGCCATCCAATGGGTTGATAACAAGGCTGTTTCCTTGCTAACATCAATTGATTCCGCGAATGAGAAAGCGTTTGCAACGAGAAGAACGAAGGTAGGAGGTGCATTTGAACGCGTAAATGTAGACCAGCCCTATGCATTTTATAGATATAATCAGTACATGAATGCAGTAGATAGGTCGGATCAAATACTTGCATGCCATAATGTATCCCGTAAGTGTTATAGATGGTGGAAAACTTTATTCTTCCACTTAGTAGATATGGCAGTTGTTAACGGTTTTCTTCTTTTTCAGCAGCATCGTGCAAGCGACCCGGATAATCCGGCTTTATACCGTAGGTCTACTTATACTATTGTTGATTTTAGGGAGGAAGTAGTTGGGCAAATTTGTGGGTTGGTAGAATATGATAATCCTCCTGTGTATGAGGCAATGCAGGCTGTTCCTCGCCATGATCAGTTTTGTGTTGTCCATATGCCTAAGACTGCTGAGAAGAGGAAGCATTGTGTTGTTTGTTATGGGAAAGGTTTGGGGCAGAGGTATGTGTATACTTATTGTAGTGCTCCGCAGTGCAATAATAAACACATGCATGTTGGTGCTAAGTTTGATTGTTTTGAGGTATGGCATAGTAGTGATTATACTGGTAAGAGAACATGATCACGAGTATTTCTGCTTTTGCTTGTTTAGGTAGTATGCTCACGATCATGTACAATATCAAATTTGTCAAACAAATGAAGATTTGTATCATATTTCCCATTATGATTACAGTTCAATGTTTGACATACATTTCATTTTTTAATAAAATTTTCCTTACTATTTGTGTTACATTCATGTATATTCAATGTAATTGTTTACTTTATTATTAAAAATTGAAAGAAGAAGTGTGTTGTGGGTGAATTTGTAATATCATGCGAAGTAGCATTTCAAGCAGCGTCATTCAAAAACCTTTTTGTGCCTGTGCAAACTGTTTCTTTTCCCCAATCAATTGGAAAATTGTCCCTTGAACTGGTAGAACATAAAGGTGTCAGCTATTCTACAAATTATATTGTTGTACACATTTTTTGTTTTTCATGGTGGTCGAATTTCCCAAATTGAGTTGCCGAATAGCTTAGAACCTTCATTTCGACCAATAATAGCGAGGATCCCACTCGACAAAATGAGTGGGGCAGGTTAAATTCCAAAAGGCCACTACTACCACTATGTAAATATATATCTATATGAGGCTCTGGCATGGTTACAAGATCAGAGACATGTCAATGGAATCAAAGGTAAGATTCTGCTATTTCTAAAGGGTGAATTTCAAAAAATAAAAAAAAATATTTCCTGTTGGTCAATTATTATGAAACTTGGCTCATATATACCATATAACCTAAGCTAACTTTTCATAGATATAATGCATTGGAAAATATGCGTTGTTTCGTCGCAATGAGGCTAAATTAAAATATAATTGATACATTTTTTGCTTAATTTATGCAAATTTATGCAGTTTTTGGTCACGTGACACATTTCAAATGAAAACAAACCGTCACTCATCGATAGCAGAACTCATAAGCTTTCAAACAATGTATCGTGCTCTGTGAAAGGTCAAGTACATGCGGAGATATTTGTACCGAAATGAATTGCACTAATTTTTCACGTGAAATAGCCTGTCGAGAAAGAGTTTTAATGTGCTCTTCATAAAACTATAAACAGCCTTTAATTAAATGGCTTTATCGATAAACTTTGAGTTTGCAATAAAATGATTTCAAATTCTCGCATGCAAATAACTTTGCTTTCTTTTTTATTTAAATTTAAAAACTCAATAGAATAAAAAAGGATATCAATATTGGCTCGCTTCTTTTTGCCGATTCTTTCGCCGCCTTTTCTTTCTGCGAAAACTTTTGAAATTTACAAAGTCTTGCAGAAATGCGAGCAATAATGAAATATATTTGCAAGAAATTTATCAGTCATCACAGTTCAAGAAGTGTTTGGTATTTCGCTGTCGTGATGCAGTCGTTATAAAGCAAACTTTAAATTGAACCAATTAGTGTCAGCCATTCATGACAGTCCGCCATATTTTTGAGATCAGTGAGAATGACCACCCATCGTAGGTGACCCACGCCCGCGATAATTGATGAACTTTAGTCTTCGCTACTGCGTTCGTTTCCCGGGTGTAAATAGCCGGGGGGGAGTTAGTACCCTCGCACGGCGCTTCGCGCGGACGGCTCGGTGACTAAGATTAAATTCATGGTTATTGTTTATGACCATGACTACTATGATCAACGACTATACCAAGATTAAAGTCATATAATTATGTTCACATATACCGTAAACAATCGTTTTCAAAAGAAATCCGTCGGGAAGAACACGAATATATGAATACATATAACCCCCCTCCCCCAATTATCGTGCAAGGAACGGCCCTGATGGTTATTATAGACTATAGTACTCTCCACGAGCTTTAAGACTGTAGAGTATAGTCTATGATTAGCTACTAATATAATAGTCATTACTATTATGGCCTTAGTTTATGTCCATTCACGTCGTTTCGTCTTCAAATGCTTATGATGAAACGGAATTGGTGAACAAAATCGTAATAGTAATCGCAAATTACTTCAACGTTTTCCTTCGCGGATTAAGAAATAGTCATGACCATTTGTCGTAGCGCAAGCAACAAACTCGTGACATTAAAAAGGTGTCATGTTAACCAATATGTCCTAACTTATGTACACATTTATATTTAAATTGTTACAAGAATAAAAAACATTCATATATAAATTGTTACAAACCATCGAAAACTAAACCCTACAGACTGACAAACAAATTGCGAATTGAATTGCGGTTATAGCGATTCGTTGTTGAAGTGAAAATTCTAAAGGTCTCTAATAAAATATTATAAGCATGGTAGCTACTTACGGTCAAATAATAGTTCTTTCCATATGTTAAGTTGATAATCGTCTTGTTATATTGATAAACCTGACAATAAAATTAACAGAAAATGTAAAAAATTAACAAAACAAAGAAATGATGGTCCAATTGAACCCCAAGAACGCACGTTCATATATGTTCTTGCAATTGTGTCCATGCCGCCAGGAAACTGGTGATTGTGATCTATTACGCACGAGTTTTCGGAAAAAAAATGCGACCATGCGTACGTCTAGAAACTGAACTCGTGTAACATTTCTTCGTAATGAACCGCAGCTAAAGAGAATGTGGAGAGGCGCGGTTAGCCATGCAGGCGTCTCCTGTCATGATTGTGACAAATGCGAAGCATCGCGTAAAAATCTATATGAAATATAATTAGGTAAACTAATAAAAAAACCTATATAAGTAAACATGGCGTTCAAAAACGTTACACTTATGAAATTTCGCGGAATATATGTCCCTTACCGTGTTGCGTTTAAAACATTTCTGAGTTCTAGCGAGTTATCCTCATCTACCAGGCCCCATTCGTAATGAATTTCCATTGGTTTGTTGGCAGATAACGTGGCCAAAATGTATATATATATTAATTACATTAATTGTCTGAACTCTATGTGATACAATTATCTATAAAAAATTCTTACTTGTATGTACATGCATGATAGGCTGAACATGCTCATCCGACACAATTATATAAACATATAAAAATTAGCGAAAACTGCAGCAAAAAATTCATTTTCTTAAAGAAAATATAATTTTCTTATTTCAAGAAAATATGTCTTAAAACAAGAAATTACTTTCTTAAAATAAGTTAGCACTTTCTTAAAATAAGAAATAGTTCATAAGAACATTTTTCTTAAATTTTCTTGATATAAGAAAATTTTCAAAGGAAACAAGAAAACTGAAAATTACCAAATTTTATACTACAAAATTAAGTAATGGGGTCATTGGTTCAATATGGATTAGCGAACCTATAGAGCTAAAATATTTTGTTACTTTATACATTTTTGTCGAAATTTACGAATTAATTTGGGAAATTAAGAACATTTTCTTAAAGTAAGAAAATTATTTTCACAATATTCTCAGAATAAGAAATATATGCAGCAAAATCTTTTCTTAAAATAAGAAACAGGTGGACATCATAAGAAATTTTTCTTAAATTTTCTTAAACAAGAAAGTTTAGAAAAATCTTGGACGAAATAAGAAATGTTTTCTTAAGTTTTCCTAAAACAGGAAAATTATGAATTTTTCTTGAGATATATGAAGATAAATTTAGAAAAATGTTGGAAGAAATAAGAAACTTTTCTACATAATTTTTTGAAAATTACTTAAGGTGACTCCCTGATGCTTTTGCTTGATAAGTGCAAAACATAAGACAAAATCATCACCAATTGACCTAGTGAGTGGATGTATTGTAAGGCCTACTCTGGGGCGGTAAATCGCCTTCAATCGCTGCGATATAATGCGATTTTGGGCGATTTTAGGCGATTTAAGGAAAAACTGGGACTTGCAAGCACTGCGATTTAATTCGATTTTAGGCGATTTAAGAGAAAATTCTAAATTTTAGGGATTGCAATTTAGACCTGTGTTTTCAAGGTAATTTAATTTTATATTTTGCTCCGGTTTCCTCCCACAAGGCAAAATATGGCAGGGTGGGTTAGAATAAACACAGTTAGAAAAGTGATATCATATTCTCATTGTTATAAAGATAAATAGTCTAGACTAACATAAGTAACCCTAATACTTGATGTAAGCGGTGACTGAAAAGCCCCAAAGGGGAGTGAGCTGAATAATGTAATGTTTTCACACACATTGACACATATGCATTGTATGAAGCAAAATACAATTATTAGAACATGTATGTACATTTTATATAAAGCTAGGTTAATAATTATTGTATTTAACCCGAATCATATACAAAGCTCAATATTCGTGAACTTTTCGTCCATTGTCTTATTTAGAAGCCATTGGAATTCATCTTGTGGGGTCATGTGGTCATGCATTCATGGCGACATTATATACCACAAATATTGTAAACAGTTAATAAATATACTCTACTTAAGGGGCATGTACGGTACGTAATTGCAAAATACCAACCTATAACTAAACTAGAGGGCACTCAGAGACTGCATACCTCCGCCTACGCGCAAAATATTGAAGTAATCTATTGTTATTAGAATTTGAATGGCTGGTGCATATATTATGCACGTCCTAATTATGCATTCAGTATAAGTTTTATTTAATTGACCGGGAAAAGCAAGACAAACTTTTGTTATTTCTCATTCAATTTTTAACCAAATTCAACCAAATTTTCATCAGTTCTTCCTTAGCCGATGAGAAATGCACTCACAAAATTTCGTACGGATATGTTTGGTATTTCTTGAGTTATCGTGCTCACAGACAAACACACACACACACACATACACACACACATACACACACACATACACACACACACACACATACAAACCCAGATGATTACATAACCTCCTGGCGGAGGTAACTGCACATGTCTAAGGCTAAACTTTAATATTATTAATTGCAAAATATAATAGATATTTGATTTCCAAAAGAACCACAGCCCACAGGGAGTAGAAACGCACAATATATTTATACAGTTACAATAAGCTATATTCCTATAAATTACCTTGTCACCCTTGTAAGTGAAATTGTCTTGTTTTGTATCTTGTCAACACTTCTTTATTTAGCTTGCATTTCATTTAAACTGTTTCAACAAACATGTTTTATAAAATTATGTTTGATATCTATATCCAGAAACAGTTTGAAACA